CCCACGGGCTCAGGCAATCCCCTCACCTCAGCCTCCCAAAGTGCTGGGATTACAGGCTGAGCCACCGAGCCCAGCCCATCTGAACAATTTAACTAAAGACCGGGCTCACCTCTTACAAGACTCAGCCTCACTGTCTTTGTCTGGTCCTGGCCTTGTCTAGGAGAAAACGGTCCTGAGGACCAACGGGTTTGGACAATGCCCTGTCAACACCTCACCATGGACTGTGTGCTGGACACTGGCGGAGGAAGGGCTAAGGGGGCGTCCCTGCCTGTGTCCTCTGGGATCTGGCCGCCTGGGGGGACTCGCCCACCAAACCCAGCTGCATTTAGAGGCTGCTCTGCCGACGGCCCCTGTGCATCTGGCAAGGACCTGCCTTGGGCCCAGGAGAGGACCCTCCTCCCCTCGCCCTCCGGGGCCCTCAGCCCCATCTCCCCCTGCCTGGAAGCCCCGGCCTGTCTGCTTACTGTGGCCAGCCTTCTCCCGTGGACACAGTGAACAGCGTCAGCAGCGCCCACAGCACGTTGTCGTAGTGGAACTCGTACTTCCTCCACTCTCGGTCTCGGGCCTTCACCTCGTTCTTCTCGTACAGGAGGTACTTTCCCCTGACACAGAGAAGGGGGCCGTTGGGGCTTGGGGCGGGCATTGGGCTCTGGTGCTGGGCCACCAGAGGTGGGGTGGGGGAGGGGGGAGGAGGAAGAGGAAGGGACGAGGGAAGAGATGGAGGAGGAGGAGAAAGAGAAGGACAGGGAAGAGGAGGAGGAAGGGGAGGAGAAGGGAGGAGGGGGAGGGGAAAGAGGCAGAGGAAGAGACAGTGGAGGAGGAGGCGGGAGGGCTCCACAGCCCACGCTGCTTCCCACGTCCTGGGGAGCGCGACACCCTCCATTTCACCCTGCGCTTCAGGGGGGAGTACACGTCGGCTCGTGTGAGACAGAGCTGCAGATGGTGCCTGCACCCAGCGGGGGAACTGGCCCAGAGTCCACACTGCTTCCCAGTGTGAAAGCTTCCGGTCCCCGGGGTGAGGCCTTGGGCTTGGTGCTGGGTGTGAGGAGCAGGGAGAGACACAGGGGACACTTCTGGGCTCACTGGTCTGAGGGGGCTTCAGAGCAGGAGACAGATTTCCACCCAAATGACTGGGACCCTTCTAATTTCAGGAAATGGCCACCAAATGACAGCAGGCTACCATTTGCTGCAAGGTGAGGTCTCACACTAGGACAATAAGCCCTATCTATCATCTCTCTCTCTCTTTCTCTCCCATCTATCTATCCATCCATCCAGCCAACCACCTATCTTCTATCTACCACCTATCATCTATCAATTATCCATCAATCTATCAGCTATTATACACCTAGTATCTATCCCCTATCTCTCCATCCATTGATCTATCTTCTTTTTTTTTTTGAGTTGGGAGTCTCATTCTGTTGCCCAGGCTAGAGTGCAGTGGCACACTCCCAGCCACTCCCAGTGCTGACCTGCTGGGCTCCGGCGATCCTTCTGCCTCAGCCTTCCAAGTAGCCTGAACTACAGGCATGCACTACCATGCCTGGTTAATTTTTAATGTATTTATTGTAGAGACAAGGGCTCGTCAAGTTGCTTAGGCTGGTCTTGAATCCGTGGGCTCAGGCAATGCACTTGCCTTGGCCTCCCAAAGTGCTGGGATTACAGGCTGAGCCACCAAGCCTGGCCATATCTATCATCTTTTAAAAGTCAGAGTTGCCAGGCTCGGTGGCTCAGCCTGTAATCTCACACCTTTTGGGAGGCTGAGGTGAGTGGATTGCCTGAGCCCTCGGGTTTGAGACTCGCCTGGGCAGTGAGACCTCATCTCTACAAAAAATCAGCTGGGTGTGATAGTGCATGCCTGTAATTCCGGCTACTCGGAAGGCTGAG